CAACTCCGATGTGACACACACTTAACGATTAATCGCATCCAGTGTCGAACGATTTAACATTCACGTTACATCCGCATGAGTTCTGCGTGTCCAATCGCTCTTTACTCAAATACATTCGCGACTTTGATCCGGCAGTTCCCGGACGTCCTCTCTCTGTCTCTCGTTGACGCGGTTCGTCCGAAGAACCACGTGAGGTTCTTTACGGTGACGATTTTCTTGGACGTGCGGGATCAGTCATGCGAGAAATTTGTCCGTCCACACTGTTCCTCGAGCGTGAACTTTCCGCCGTCCAAAAGTGACGCGCTTTGATCAAGTTTCCCTCAGCACGGAAGCCCGTTCCGCTTCGTCGATATTCAAACTCGAGAATAGCCACAACCCCATGGCAAACCCTAACCGCAAGGTCTCTCACCCGTTTTCGTATTTCAACGGACAGGGGTCTTGGAGTAAATCCTAGCGGCGACACGCGCGTGTCGCGGCCACTACCCAACCCGGAGATCTCAGGTGTGTTGCGCCGCGATAGGATCGCCACGTTCGACGGCAGCCACGTGGTGCACGACGGTAGAAACGTGCCGCCGATCGCTAGCGTCGATCGCCGCGAGCTAAGCACGGAATCGTCTTGACACGGCGCGAATCAGAGTCCGCAGGAACCCGGGTTCCCCGCGCGGCCACGGGATCCCAAGTACGCGCACCCGGCCGGTCGACCAGTTCGATCGGTTCAACCCGCTGCTTCGAGGATAGTTCGACGGCGAAACCCCCGACGGACTCCCGGCGCGAGCGCCAGAACGAACGACGCCCTGTTGTCGTCGCGGCACGGGGTGAACGCACGGCTTTGCGGACGACGATCCGCGCCCTCCACCGCCCAGAAACTACCTTCCGCCACTGCCACCACCATCACCGCCACCCCCACTGCCGTCGTTGCCCCCGCCGCCCCCGCCGCCCCCGCCCCCCCCGCCGGCGTGGCGGCCGACGGGGCGCTGGCGACGAGGTGAAGGAAGCGTTTCCTCCTCTCGGCATCGAAGCAGAAACGAGGGACGGCCCCCGCGAGCGACGAGCTACCCGCTGCCGCGAGTACGTTCCGTTGACAACCCGACGATGGTGTGCAACTCCGCGGG